CGGGGGCCACCAGACAGCATGGCCACGGCGCTGCACAGTGGCAGCCACCAGGGATCCTGCACTGTCCCCAAAACCCTCGCAGTGTGCACCACTACATACATCACCCTCCGCTCCACGCAAGTGAATGCTCTTGGCAAAGGGTTTATTGAGGCAGCATGAAACACAATCGTGACTTACAAAAAACCCTCACAAAAATATGAAAGAACAGTTGAAAGTTTCAGCTGCTGATGAAAAAGCGAATTCAAAGGATGAACTTGTGAGCAAACAAACAGATTTGGAATTAAAGCATACAGGCAGTAGCATCCCAAGTGTAGAAAACCAAGGGAAATGACTCCCAGCCAGCACTGAGAGGGTCCAGGGAGGGAGGGCTCAAAGGTCGGTGGTGGCAGGTGGCTCTGTGTTGGGACAGGGGAAAGGACACCTTGAAGAACATTCTCCCATCATCCAGGGAAACAAGGCTCTGCTCCAGTCCCTCAATGAACTGGGGGGGAGGTGAAAGCTCTTAGACAGAGCTGGGGTCTTTTAGGTAACACAGAAAATCCCGGACTCGAGACAATAATCTCTCCTAAAAAATTAACCCATCCAGAGCCCACCACACATCAATCACTTTAATGCTTTCCTTGATGAAGGGCAGACAACTCTGTCACCACAGCTTGTTTTGCAAGAGCCGGGAGGATGGAGCCAGGGGAACTGCCAGCCTTTTACTGCAGCTTCCCAAGACAGCCCTGGTTTTGTTTGTGTTCCTGAGAGCACCTCTCCTGCTCTGAGCCAGTATGTGTAACTCGGAGCCACTCTCTGCAACGCTAGCTTCTAACATCACACTGCAGGGTTACACTGGGCTCTGCAAGCAGGTTTTCCTCAGTCTCTGCTTGTGAGACATATGCTATGAAAACTTAATGTGAGTTATTGGCCAGGGAAAAGAAACCCCTTGTCCTGTGCAACTCTGCAGCTGTAATAAGCTTTGCACGTGCCAAAACACATATCATCATTTTGACATATTCTACAAACACAGCAGCACATTATAGACAGTTTATTCTAGTGAAGTCTGTTTTTCAGCTTCTATTTTATGTTCAAGCAGCAGAGACGATCAAAGGTGACAGCAGAGTCACACAACAACTACCCCCCTCAGCTGCACTGGGATTTCACTATATACTGACTGTCCTGACACTGAAGGGACAGCCCTGCACTCCTGCTGTGCATCACAGCACAGTGAGAGGTGGCTTATAAAGACTTCACAGGATCTTTTTCACCCTTAAGAACATCTGCATCGCTGCTGCGTACAGGAAATCTTTCCAGTGGATTAGACTTACCAGATTCCAAATCACTACTACCCTGCTGAGAATCAATTTCAAAGTCCTAAGGAGTTCTCCTTCCTGCAGTAAAAAGCTCATTAAAAGAGCCAACATAGCCAATTTTTGGTTAACAGCAGCACAGAGATTCCCTATTCAGTATCTTTAATTCTGGAAAAGGGAACGGGTCTGGGTCCAAAATAAGCCTCTCAAGTCCTCCCATTCCACATTAGGAGTGGGCTTCATACTGGTCTCAGACGTGGTTCCTCCTCTTCCTCATGGTTTGGTGGCTGCTGGGGCATTTCTTCGTCTCTTGTATCTTGCTTGTCTCTCTCTGCTTGAAGCCAGCTCTGAGGAGCTATCATTTTCTTTGGCCCGTAGGGTGGAGGCCCAATTAAAGCTTCAATGTCATCATAATTTATCACTTCTTTCTCCAGGAGGGCATTAGACAGCTAGAAAGAGTAAACAAGACATAATGAGGCACAGGGGTTTGAAAACAGTCTCTCTGAACTGATCTGAACTCTCCCTGCCAGCTCAACACAGACCTCAACATCTGCACCCTGACTATCATGGCACAGACGGGGGGACCCCAGAGCCTGCAGAAACCACCTTAGCTCTCCACCTTTCATGAGAGTGCATTTATCCAGGAATACAGAGCATGACTGGAAGCAATAAAACAAGCTCTAAGGAATGATTTGTCAAGTCAGAACTCCAAGAATAACTGGAGACATGCCCATCCTGCCACTGTCACTGCACCTGTGGCCCTGCCTAGGATGCCAAAGTAGCAGCACATGAGACCACGGTCAGACCCGCTCCCAGTGACAACAAAGAGCTGTCTGTTCCTGCAGGCGTGGGCTGGAGGTCAGCAGAAGTTCCTCTCCAGAAAAGCTGAATGCTCTGGCCCCTCTGCCAGCAGAAGGGCCGCACTTGAGCAGCAGGTGGCTGCCAAACATGGAACTGCTCAACTCCGCTGACAAGATGCGACACACTGGCCTAGCAACCGAAACATTTACTCTGTAGATACTTTGGCTTAACTTGAAAGTTCTTCTGTGATGAGCCTCTCGCAAACATCTGACTGCTGTTAAATGAAAGCAACAGAACAGAGGAGGCCTGCAGAGAAGAGACCCCCTAACAGGGCTTGCCTTCAGAGTGCTCCCTGGGCACTGTCCTGGGGACAGGGCTGAGATATGGCCAACAGCAGGGTGCCTAAGCAAGCCAGCTCTGGCTACCTTACTACGCACAGAAGGTCTGCAGTTGTGTAGCTGAAGGGGATTTTGCTGTTGTTGCCATCATTCTTGTTTGTTTAAAAAGATGATTTAAATAAAATGATCGTTTTATTTGCAAAACATGCAACACCGAGCTGACTGCTGGTTATTTTGGATGCTATGGGCCAGACTTCTGAAGGAAAGATGAAGTAGATACACAGGGTACAGCAAACCAAGTGTGGCTCAGCCCAGAGCAACGGGTACAGAGAACATGCTGAGCTGGTGGGGACATGCCAGGGTGACTGGCGCGGGGACTGTCAGGACACAGAGGGGAGAAGGCAAAGCTCTACCTCTGCAACAAGGATTCCTTGTTGTATCAGGTATCGAGGAGCTGGCAGGTGAAACCTGCCTGGAGTGTCCAGAAAGCATGAACCAGTGCCAATCAGCCAAGGTGGCAAGTCCTATATTCTTTCATCAAAGCCAGAAACCGCCTACCTGATTCCTGTGCACCTACAGGACCCAGAAGGATGAGCTGTTCCTGCATTTATGGGCTTCACAAGAACAGTCAGTCTGCTCTCCAGGAAATTACACTGCCAAGAGGCTAGCAGAGAAGTGCAGGTGAGGGACACATTCCAGCATTGATCATTTCCACAGAGCACTCCTACTCCTCTACCCTGCAAATACCAGCTGGTGTCTAAAGGCAGACTACTCACTGTGGGGAGCTCACTGTTGGAAGAGCACGCATTCCTCCCTGCGCCTGTTCCTGATCTGGGGCGTCTGCAGTACTTACTTGTTCACACCATGAGCCCCAGCATTCCCTCTCCAAGCCTTTGTAGGACCACAGAGACACTGTGACAGCTGAGCTTGAGAGCACAGAAAGCAGCAAGGCAAAAAACACACCAGGTGAAAAACCCAAAACCACCCTTACTCTCCATTCCCTTCAACTTACGATTTGTAGCTTGTCCCTGTTCTCCAGTAAGAGCTTTTCTGTGCGCCTGTAAGCCTGAGCCACCAGGACTTTTGCTTCCTAAAAGACAGTAACAAGGAGAGAGAGACCTGGAGTGCAATAAACGCAGCATGTGGATAATCGAGGGATAGAATCTGCAGACTGAGACAGGCAGAAAGTGGTTCCCCTCAACAGAAAATACAGATAAACCATATGAAAAACAGCAGAGGAGTACTCATGGTAAGGAACAGTCAACTCCTGCACTAGCACAACTCTCCAGCAGAGTCCCAGCTGGTGGGAAACGCAGTGTAATTAAGGAGGCTGTCTGGTAGCAAAAGATGCAGCTCAGCACAAATCCCAGGGAAACAAACTCACTTGAAATTCACTCCCCAATGGCTAACACAAAAACATGAACTGTTTGGGTGCAAGTTATTTGCTTTTCCCCCCCCAGGCTGCAGAAAGTGAAGAATAAGACCAGGAATGTGTAACCAACAGCAGCCTTACATGGTCCATCATCTGCTGAAGTCCCTGGCTGAAAGGGCGCCGACCAATTCCAGGTGCACTATCCAGGTCTGGGAAGGAGACCTGCCCAATGCTGGGCACCATTCCGTACTGCTTCACCATAGAGTATGCTATCTTGGTCACTTTCTTCAGGTCATCCTGTGCTCCTGGGCAAGAGAGACAGACACAGTGCTTGCCAGCGATGAGCTGAGTGCAAGAGAAGCACATCCTCAATGCATCCTGCTAATCAAGAGACCAGAGGACCCACAGGAGCCCATGGAGGTGAACACTCCACCTGCTGATGGACCTTTCCAACATGTACTGCAGGACTCATGCATGACTGAGTGAATCTACTGGTAACTGGCTTATGTGGAGTGCTTACCTGTCACTGCCATCCCATTTGGATACAACTAGCTGGAAACACGGCACAGAAAACTCTAGGCCCTGCCACGAGCCAAGAGTCTCACTGGGTAATTGCATCTGTGGCCTTAGGCTTTGGGACAAGTGTAAGACAACACAGTGACAACCAACAGTGAGAGACCTCCATGCTCACAAATGCAAGCCCAAGATCAAATCATGCAATCTGACATTTCTTCTTCTCAGTGTGGGAAGCCTTCATCTCTTGCTCAGCTCACCCTCGGACAGAACAAGCACAAGATCAGGATGTCTTAGTACAATCTCCAGGATCTATGCCATGTCTGTCTCCTCACCTGTAGTGACTTTGTTAAAGGTGATGGCCTCAGACACTCTCCCTCCCAGTGCCATACACATTCTCTCCATCAGCTGTTCCTTGGTGAAGAGGTACTGCTCTCTTGGAAGGATCTGAGCAAATCCAAGAGCGGCATTTGTCCGAGGGGCTATCGAAACCTGCAACACAGAGCAACTCGGTTCACAGACCAAAAAAGCTCCCACTACAGCAGCAGAAAAAGAACAGGAAAAGGTCTGCAATCCCAGTGAAATCTGTGGAAAACTATGAGGCAGGCAGGCTGGCCTACAGAGATACAGCCAAGGACTACAGTGTGTTACCATTCCTGTACTGAAGGCTCTGCCTCACAGCTACAGACATAAGCTTTCTGCCACTTTCTGCTCAAGAAATTGAAAGGAAATTGTCCTTAATAGCAAGCCAGTGAAATCCTGAGATTTAGGAGTTGCTTTGGAGAGTATAAGCCAAAGAGTTCACTTGACTGTGTTCCAGAATCACTGAGACTACCTGGAGAAATATAGGATGTCTTCAGAAAAGTAAGAGCCATTTCCCACATGCATTAAAAGAGAGTGATTAACAACAGTTCAGCTCATACAATAGGTCATTCAGAATGAATTTGCTGCTGGTGGGGAGCCAAGGAGCTGTCTCCCTTGTCATTTCCACTCCCCATGTCCTCTCAGTGTCAAGGCTTTTTGAGTAGATGTGCATGGGAAAGAATACACCCTGGGGTGCCAAAGAGAGGCCTTTCCCTGCAGAGAAGGTCTTTTTCAACCTAAATGACTCTATATTAACCCTTTATTTTGCTGCAGTATTCACAGCTCCAAGCTCACAGAGGCCAGCAGAATTCAACACAAGTACTAGAAAGCAACCAGCAAATCTCAGACAGGAGAAGCCCAAAGGACTCTCTTCACACCCAGTGACAGGCTTCTTTATGGAAGAGCTGGTGCTGTAGTTACCTTCATCACAGCCTCAGTGTGCTCCAGCAGCCAGCCAACCAGTGCATGGCCTGATTCATGGAACGCCACAACCTTCCTCTCTTCCGGTGACAGGATTTGACTTCTTTTGGCAGTGCCTATAGGAACACAGACAAGGATTCCATGAGATTGCCAGCAATAGGTGCAACCAGCAGGGCATAATCTTGTACTCAAGCTAACACAGTCTGGGGATAACAGCCAGCAAAAATCATACTGCACTCTTGTCTGAGGAGAGGCAATAAAAAGCCCTTCAATTACATGCTGTGGAAGAGGTGCTCTCTTCCCCTGTAGCAGAAAGTAATCCATGCCTGGATTGCTTGAAAACACTGTCAGAAACTTTCCCCCTCCTTTCCTCCTTACAACAGACTTAATCATTTGACAAATAATTTAACATTTGATTAGATCACAGCTCTAGAACACAAAGCTCTGTTCTGTTCCCAGCTCTGCCAAAACCATGTCACAGTGTATCTCTGCCCAGGGACAGATCTGCAACAAGTCACCCTACCATTTGGAAAAACAAAACAAGAAACAAACCAGCAAAACCCAAAACAGAAACTAGCTAGAGTATCATACTGATTTTGCCGTATGGTCTTTCTGTCCCTTAGGCAGAACATGAAAGAAACAAGATGTTGCATTATATATGAAGTCCCAGTTGAGATTCTTGTGCATGAGGAGTGTTCAAACCAGCAAAAGACCAGGAATATACACAAAAATCTTTCTCCAGACCCTGGAAACGTCTCTGATCACACATGGCATGCTCTGCGTGAGCTTATTCCCAGGCTCCTGAGGACTAGCAAATTAAGCCGTAACTCTCACTTAATACTTCCTCCAAAAAGGTGATTTTCAAAAGCATTTATTTTCCAACCCAGTAGTCTGCAATGCAGAGTGAGACCAGTAAGGATTAAAAAATAAGTTTTGAATGGAAGTAAAACTTCTAGCACATAGAAAATATGTTAACTACAGAACACGCTGCATATCAAGCATTTATTACATCTCCGTATGTTGAATGCAAAAAGGTACCAGTACTTTAAAGCAAATGCCTGCACACAGTGCCAGGAGCAGCAGGTGGTAGAGCAGGCAGAGTCAAGAGCAGCATTACACCAAGCTTGCTTCATGTCTTGAAAAACAACATTCTATTAACATTAATTTTTAAACAAAGTTAAGGGCTTTATTAAACAAGGAAACAGCAAAGTTAGTGTGGCAGATCTTGTAAAATTACTGCTCAGGGACCCTGGAAACCACTGTGCCCCCCAAGGCATGATGGTGATGGAATAGCAGATTAAATGCAACAGCCTTGATTTTTATCAGTCAGTCCCTTACCCTGCCTTCAGCAGTGTGCGTGCATATGCCTGTATGTCATCTTCTGTAGAAAGATGTATATATATACACTGCACGTATATAGACACACATACACATATATATATACACGCACATACAGACACTTCAATTCTGGAATCATTCCTCTTTCAGCCCACCAAGGAGGGAGGGACTGTACTCTTCTCAACAGCACACCCAGTGTGTTTACAAGATTATTTCTTTTCCTACATGAAGTTCATCTCCGGGCAGGAAAGTTCTTTAAAGGCCTGTACTTACTGCATTTAGGAGACAAACAACTTAGGAAACAGCTCTGGTGCATCTCTGCTGCCCTTACACAGAGGACACAAACACCACCAAGAAACCAGGCTCCTCTACATATTCTAAAGAGAACCCCTGAAAGCCTCTGTGCTCTCAGCAGGTTTCCTCACTTACTCCCAGGAGACCTGACTTACTGACTGCTTTCTGTTCCCAAACTAAAAACACAATGGGGACTACCACAGAGAGAAGTTCTTACTCCTCCCTTACAGCAATACAAAGCTTCAAGGCTGACAGAGCCTCTGGACTTGCAAAGTTCTCTTTTGATTCCACACTGCTTATTAAAACCAGAAGCTTATAATGGAAAGCACAGTAATATCTTTGTTCTTTCAAGAAAAGCTTTTATAGCAACTGAAATGCCCGCTGGATTGTGAAACCCAGAAGCATTCCTATTACATGGCAAGGGTACATTCAATTTACAAGCCTGAAGGGTTGTTTGAGGTCTTTTAGACGTAGTGTACAGAAAATAGTCAGGTCCCACAAACATGAAAGAATCCCAGTTCGGCAACAAAAAGACTTTAAGGCCTCCTACGCACCACAGAGCCTTGGGGAAGCATGTCAGCTTGTCAGCAGTGAAACTGCTGAAGCCCTTGCCCTGCAATGCCCCACCACATTAATCCCCTGTGGCCTTACTTGCTTTTTGCCCCACCTTCTAAGTCTGGGGAACTAAGGCAAGAAAGAAAACCCAAGTGAACCCCTACAAGTTCGGTGCTTTCTCTTTTGCAGATGAAAAATAAAGCACCTCTTTCTCCAGCTGATGAGGACTACAGTCATCTCGCTGTCAACTCCTGGGAGCTGCTTGGTACAGTCTGTGCTTTGTTTAAGTGTGACCACAGTTACCAAACCCAAATCCCTTGGAGTGCTTTGAAGAGGCAGATGAAACTGTCAGGAATTTTCTCAAAAATCTTCTCTCAAGTGAGTAATTGTTTAGGCATTTTCTGATAAAGCAAACACTCAGGACTGAATTCCAGGATCAGGAAATAACTGACCCAGTACAAACATCCTGTTCCACATGCTCTAAGCAAAGCACAGTATGCCAGTCTGTTTGCCCAGGCTCGCCCCCTGGTAATGACATTGCAGCCTGGAAGCACTTAAGTGTCTGATTATGAAAACCACAGCTTGGCTACAGGGCAGTTCACACTGAAACCCACCAGATTCAAATCCCGCAGGTGAAGTCAAGAGTTCTGGGAATTATTTTTCCCTTCCCTATAATATACTGCTACAGGGTAATATCCAGAGGTTCCTCTGCTGGCAATAGCACACGCAACAGGGAAAGGCCAACAGGATGTTCTCAGAGGGAGAACAGTACTCTACTGTCTTTCAGTTTATTCTGCCAATTCACCAAAGCCTGGGCTTTGAGACCAAACAGAAAAATCTCTGATTTCTTGCTGTTGAGGATGCATAGCCTATTTGCTATTCATGTTTATGTAGCAGGTGTCCAGAGCAGCAAGAAAAACCCTGAGATACTTCCACTCCTTTTCTTATAAAAAGAAACCAAACCCCAACTCTTTTAAAACTAAAAAAGCCATACAGATTTTAATTCTCCTCTTTACTGTTTTACTACTGGCCATCTCCTCTGAGCTACAGGTTCAGGCTGCCTACAAATTCAGGAAGATAAATCCATATGGGGTCTTGTTTGGAGAACTATCTTGTGACTGTAAAAACCTAAAACCTTTAGGTCAGCACTACAGGACAGAGCACAGTTAGGACCCACGTATCTTCCTTGACTGTAATCTACTCACTTCAGCCTCCTCTCAAGAAGCGTGGCACAGACCAGTAAGACTGGAGGGAAATGAAATGCCTGCATCACTTACCTGCAATGACTCTTTCCACAGCGTACTCAAAGTTGAAAGTATCGATGGATTTGTGACCTTCTCTAGCAGCATGAAGAGCAGCTTCATTACATATATTCGCTATGTCAGCTCCTGTGGACAAGAGTTTACAGGCATTACATTGAATTTGTTACACAACAAAGATTGCAGAGGACAGAAGAGGCAAGAACAAATCTGGAGAAGGACCTAAGCAAGTCAACTAGCCTGCACTTTTTTTGTTCCCTGGGAACAGAGAGCAAACCTAGCCCATGGTGTTTATGTTGGATTTGAACAATGCAACTGCTTGGCAATGAAGACTGCGTTGCCACACAGAGGACAGAGTTCAGTTCAGATCAATTAGGAGGCTAAAGCCAAGGCTTGCTCTCAGCAACAGGGGAGTGGGCAGTCCGGGCTGGCACGGGCTGCTGTTCACACGGCGACCGTACAACCTCTGTGCAGAAGAGAAAGAACATCTGTTCTGAGTTTGTGTGTGTGGGTGATGGTGGCGGGGGGCTGCTGAAAGAAGTCACGAAGAGGCAGTGTGCTGGGGCCTGTTAGAGGGGAAACACAGAAAGGATATTCCAGGAACTCCACATCAACAGGAACTCTGGAGCCCCTTGCTCAGCGCTGTTTCAAATTCCCAGGGACCTACCCTGGAAACAGGCTCAGTGCAGGAGCCAGGCAGAGTTGTCCAATTTCTACTCTGACTGACAAAGTAATTCTATTAATTCCTCCTATCACCTTCCTGGTAACATATATCAGCTTCAAGAGTTTTCTCCCTTAAGTGCAACATCTCAGCCCCAAAAACAGCTTGGATAGGAGCATGAGCAATGGTTCCTCCCCTTAGGAACTAGGATCCCAGACATAATAACAGTGTATTTTCCTATTCCCACACCCTGCTAGTCCCAGAAGTTTCAGAAGATTGGATAGACACATTGCTCATTAGAGAGCTGGGTAGGTTCCCCCTATTTCCATAGAGACGGAGTAGGCTTTAAGAAAAAAAAAAAAACCCTTTAGACCCAAATAGTTAAAACTAAGCAACCAAGAAGCTGCAGCTTGAACTGCAGAAATCGTGCAGAAGCAGGCAGAGCAGCCCCACTGGGACACAGCATGTCTTACCACTGAAGCCTGGAGTCAGTTCCGCAAGGTGTTGTGAGTAGAAGCTGGCATCTTGGATCAGCTTGAGGCCCTTCAGGTGCTGCTCAAAGATCTCTCTTCTCTCCTGTAAAGAGCACAGAACACCTGAGCCCAAGCAAACCTTCACGACGTGGCAGCTTCAGTGCTGTCCCTCGGAGGGAGTAGGGGAGGAGCAGACCTCTGGCAGCTGGGACACGGTGACATTGCCACCAGAGGGCAGGGCTGCCCTTACAGTGTGGTGGTGATCCAGGAGCCTCGGTAAACACCCGGCTCAAATACAGAACAGATGTACAGAGGCTTACCGTGAGTCACTGCTTTCTCTTTCCGGGCCACTCTCCTCTCCTAACTTTCACTCTGATCTGTCTTAACTTTTCTCTTACCATGAAAGCGCTTGCAGGAAGTAGCTCTGACTGCCTCTACCTGTTCCCTCACACACTGCAAACTGCAAACCCCATCTACTAGCTCCTTCACTAGAGACCATTTCCCAGATGAAGGTGGGGGTGAGATGATGACTGGCAAGTAGTCAAGGATTGACTCATTCATCTGGTCCAGGAGATCCTGATTAAAACAATGGGCTCAGTTGCCAGGGTTTTTCCCCTTCCTCCTTCAGGACAGCTGCACAGTTCATGCTTCCGATGCCAGATTCTACCAGGCATTTAAGGTATTTTAACTGAAAACTCTTGAGGACGGCAGTAAAGCACAGATGGGAGAAGAAGAGCCTGTGCTGGCAGAGCAGACAGATCTTTACTGCAGCTGAGCCTATTCCCAAAACTCTATTACAAATGTCAACACAGCAGACATGGAAGACTCCTAGCAAATGGATTTAAAATGCATTCAGAAGGAGCAAGTCACTTAACAGGCTGCCTAAAGGAAAATGAGGAGCCTTACAAGGACAGCGAGGACGATAAACCTACAGAACAAATGGTGCTCAAGGCACATGACAATTTAAGCTTTCATTCTCATACAAGCCAACTTGCCAATTATGTAGCTCCTAATTTCCTGTAGAGAAGACACAAACATAGTTCTGCATCTGCATGGCAAAGCAAAACTCACGGAAGAATTCACCACCAAAGCTGGTACCAGAGCAGAGACACTGAAAAATAGCGATTGGTCACTTCAGGGAAAGAAGTACATGTGTTGAGAATGTCAAGTCCTTCATCTAGAGCATGTAAATAAAGGCAAACAGAAGCTTACCAGCTCTACCTTCTCCAAACTCAGCTTTTGATCCACCAATGGAGGGATCACCATTAAGGACTGGGAAACCTCAGTCATCAGCATTATGGTAAGGACAAGGCAGCAGGTAGAATGTACCTGGAGTGTTGGAAGATCAATGAAGATGTGCCTGTCCAGCCTCCCAGGTCTCATCAAAGCATTATCCAAGACATCAGCACGGTTGGTGGAAGCCAGCACTATGACATGATCTGTGGTCCCCATTCCTGTAGAAAAAACAACCAAAACCAAAGGTGGAGGTTTTCACCATGGCAGATGCTGCTGTGCAGGCATATGAAGGGATGGGGCAGGGCAGGATGCAGGGAATGCTTTATGAATCTTCATCATAAAAAGCCAGAGGGTGTTTACAGCATCCTCTGGGGCAGCTGAGGCTGACAAAATGTCCTCCTCTCCAGCAAGGAGCACAAGACAGGAAGGAACCTCCCAAGTCACACAGGCCAGTCTCTGGTCATCACATATACTCTGAAATTCCCTTTTCATTTATTCAATAAATCCTGGCTTAAAACTTTTCCCCACACTTCCTTTTGCCACATTTGAAAGTTGCTCCAACTAGAAACCAGAACAAAACATTTCTATTTTGGTAAGTTAGGAGATGCCTTCTCACCCCCAGGCTTATGTCAGTTCCTGCTCTTCTACCTCCAGGTTGTACAAACAATGATGAAACAGCCTTTCCCTCACAAATATTTCCGTGCAAAGCCCTTTCAGCTTTCAATTACTTTTAGCCTTCAGTCACAGACAGCCCACCAGGATCATCAGCTCACGTTAATGCAGAAAGAGGACGCAGCTTTGCCACGCAGCAAGGAGCATGTTACAGTATGATTTAATCTTTGCCTTCTCACTCATCTTTTATCACTTGAAAGGTACCTGGGCATACTGCAGACCACTGCAAAGACCAACCCTGCAGAACTTAAACCACAGACATGTAGCTAGACACAAAGTACAACCACATAGCTCTGCAGTGATGATTAGCATACGCTAACTCAAACCACAGTCAGAGCAGGTTTTGTTTCCAGGTCTTAAAGATGAAGGAAGCACCAGGATTTAGCAGCTGCGTTAGAGCAGCCTGGAGTACAGAGGCATCAAAGGCAGACAGGGCTTCCCAGGGAAGTCAGAGAACTTGCATCTGGAGCAGGGCAGGAAGGGGCAGGCAGTTGTGCTGCTTGCGTGGGGAGCCAGAGATTTATGACATTCCACCAGGTGCCCACAGGCCCCTGGGTATGAGTCACCTGCTTACAGCAGATTCAGCAGCCTTGGCACACAGCAGCCTTCCCAGGGAAAGGACGCCTTAGTCCCATGCGCTGCCTGGGCTGCCAAGTCACACGCTGCAGAGGCAGCTTTGTGCACGTAAACTGGGCGGGTTTCAGCTCTCTCCAGCTCCACCAGAAGCGCTGCCAAATGTGTCAGCGTACAAGAGCTCAGCAGAGAGATTAAGGTTACAGGTAAGTCAGAGGACTGGCTCTGTCAGCTTGTGCTACAGCAAACCTCAGTTCTTCCTCCCTGCAGGATGCTGTCTAAATAAGCTCCTGGAGAGGATAAAGCCAGCCATCCTTCAAGCATGTATTACACTGCGCTTCGGAGTGTGATAAATAAGCAGAGAGACTGGCAGGCACTGGGGGGATAGCAAGCTTCACTCACACAGCAGGATTAGATGGTACAGTACATTATCTGCTTTGCAGCTGGAAAGACTCTCTTAAAATAGGTCTGACTATTAGAATAAATGGGAAAAAAAAAACCCAAGACCAAAAAAACCCAGAACCACTGAGAGCATCCTCCTCCCATCAGCTTCTGTCCCACTTGCTCTCAAGCATGTATCCCAGTGGTGTGAAAACTGCTCCAAGAAATCTAGTACTGCAGCCTCCGATTCATATTACTGTTCCCAATGCAACATCACCTGGCACATCACAGGACTTGGCTTTCCCAGGCAAAGATGTAGACTGTTCCTTTGGCTAAAATCCACCACCTGGGTCACATCAACAAATGAAAAACAGCTCTGTACATTCAGCCTAAAGACAGCCTTTGCATCCACAGTGTTTACAAATGAAGCCACTTGAAGAAAGGAAGGAAAAAAAAGGGTCTACTTGAGCTGAGAAGCGTTCTGCTCCCCACTGACGCAGCACACTACTTTGATGGGCATCTCACCTTCATTATCACACTGTGTAATTCTCTAGCCATTTGTTCAAAAGCCTTCTGGACATCATCTGTGAACAGTATCATTAAAGGAGAGCCACCTTTGTGAGGGAAGCCTCGGAGTGAGAAGCTTGCATACAGCAAGAGGGGAGAGGTTTTGTCTGAGGACTTCAGATGAAGAGCTGCTACCAAAAAACCTCCTGCACTTTCATTTACAAAACACACATCAGCCCAGGACTGTCAAGCTTCTCCCAAATGCATTCAGAACAGAGGAGATATTTGGGTCACATTCCTCTTCCGCTTGTTTGCTGTTTGTGAGGGAAGATTCACTATTCAAAACAGGCACCTGTTTTGACAAAGACGGGAGTACATGCGTCACTCTGGTTTTTAGAAACAGCTTTTGTACATACAGGCTCCCTCCAGTCCCTCCCCTTCTCCCAGCAGATTCTTGGTGTTTCCAGAACATGATGAAAGCTGTCAGAGTGGAGGAAACCAAGGTCGCTTGTAGGAAGAGCACAATTACTCAAAAATCTGTGTACCAGAATTACTGAGTATCAAACTGCACATTCATTCCATGCAGCTGAGCAGAATGGCTTTTTTCTGGGTGTCCTCATCCTTCCTCCAAGCCTGCAGAGCAGGTTCCATAGAGCTCTGACCCTCCTTTTCTTCCTCTGCCTTACCTATGAGTAATCTCAGTGGTACACATAAATTCAACAATCACTGCTGATGACTCAGATCTACTTTTGTGCATAGCTTTTTTTTTTCAAATTACTAGCTCACTCGGTTCTATGGTGCTGCTCTGAAGAACTTCAACCATCAATTTCAGCGAAACACAGCCAAAACAGAGCTCTCAAAATTCCATTTCAAGGCTTCCTCTTTGCAAGCACATGCCACTCCTCCGCTTGCGCTTGGATAGCGCCCCTAAAAAACCTTATTCAATATTACCTTGAAAACTATTTTGCCAGGATGCACATAACACTTCACCCTTCGTTTAGGTAACACACTCTGTTAGATAACATCGCAGCAACACGTGCCAAGATCAGTGCTGGTGAGCACAAGCCAACATTAAGTCCATGTTTCCTGTACCAGCCTGACAGTCCTTGCCAGCTGTCTCCCATCTGACACTGTAAACTCCTTGGGCTGGTTTTTTAGTGTGTTTGACAAAGCACTTAGCAAAATGAAGGACTTAGTATCTGTATGAGACACGAATAAATAATGAGACAATATAAATTTTAAAATAAACTAGGCATCACAGAGCAAACAAGACACTATTAAAGTACATATCAAGGATAGTATTTGCCTTCTAAAGTCACTTTCCCATAGTGCTGTACCCCAGTTTCTGAATTGAGACTCGCCAAGAAAACATTCTAGAAACCATGCCCAATTTCTACAGACTGGAGGAAATCAGACACTTCATTTTTAGTACAGAGACGTGGATTGTACTGACTACAGATTCGTGAACAGACACATGGGCTTCCATTTAATTCAGTGTTAAGCTGTTGCCAGCTCACCCTACAACTGTCAGGAGAAAAGAAAATCCATCACGCCAAGATTGCTGTTCAGTGTGTTACTAACTAGCCTTTTCTGTTGAGAACATCTACTGTACAGATACAGCTGTAAACAGTTATATTCACTCCAAGCATATTTACGTGCTTGGCCAAGTTGCGTAAGTTCGTGCAAGTGCAAAGCTCTGGGGAAGTGCACACACGTATTTAAGGTGATTTCTGGTATCTATGCAGCATTGTGTGTTTCAAGCATGTTCCTCTGATAACCAGACTTCTGTCTGGTTGTTTAGGATCTCCTTAAAGCTCATTCCTCCTTCAAAAGCTTCACAGCACCTGTGCTGAATCAGAGAGAGGCCTGAAGGGTCCCTCTACAGCAGGATTGCTCTACCCTGTCTGTACCACGCCGTGCTCCTGCTTACAATTTCTCCTCCTTCTGCAGCAAGGGCAGAGATCCAGAATTACAGATCATCTTTTGTGCAGTATGGAGGAACACCTACCATTTCATGGAAGCATTTTACAAGTCCCATCTTCTCTCCTTGAAAAGATGGGGTTTGACTCCTGAGCACTCTCCAGAAGGCAGCCTTGCTGCTGAACTGCGGCATGTGCTCCACTTCAGTAGGGCTCATCCCCATTATACTGCAAATGCTCAGTGAAAAAGCAAGCAGTTTTAACCCCTTTAAAGTCTGGAGAATGTGGGATGCTTTTAGTGCAGAAGAACCTTTGACTTTTCATATGAAGAATGTGATGAGACAACAAGTGTCACAGTTACAGCCAAAGGAAAAGGTGGCTCCGTTCCACCAAACAGCAGACTGACAAAAACACTCCCTGATGGGCAGGTAGGTAGTTGTTCCTGGCCCTGCTTGCAATAATAAGATTTAGCAACAGAAACATTGCAAGTTGGGTCAGTGCTGCAGGCTCTGACAGAGTTATGACTAAGAACAGCAAAAGGATCATTCCTTTTGGCAGTCATGTGAAAGTGTCTGAGAAAAGGGCTACCTCTGGTCCAGCCAGAAACCATACAGAAGTGTGGCATCAAACCAGAATTTGTTTGCAAAGCTTCTCTCTCCCAGTTTAGATTAGGGATCCTGTAGTCAGACAGACTGCGTGAGAGTAAGTCAAAGGATATGAGAATTGGTGTATTACATTGCTTTTGGCCCTCTGGGACAACTAAACTTTAAACCCTAACAGGCTTTAAACCACCACGTGTCTTAGATGGAACACATCAAGTAACCAACAACACTTTATGGCCAGATGGACCTAAATGTTACTCTATAGACAGCAGTGCCCTTGCTGTCAATTCTTTTTTTTTTTTGGTTCTTCAGTACTCTAAATAATTCTTCTCCAGCTGCCAGTGGGAAAGCATACTCTTAAGGTGAAGCCATTTACTGCAGCAAGAGTCTTTGGGGTTGCTGCCCTCTGCCAGCCATAATCTCGAATGCACATTTGCTGTTGATTCTACACATGACTGCTGGTGCAAATTCACTCTGCCTGTGACACTACACTGTGTTATGACTCAGGGTCTTCAGTAGTGTCACAAAACCAGTTAGCTCCAGGGTTTTAAAGTTTACTGGATTTAGCCCCACACCCTTAAAAGCCTGTACAAATGTCTAGATTTCAAGAGGGTTATCTCCATAACTTAGCCACAGCACATAGTCAAGAGATCTGTCACGAGCCAAGTTACTTTCTTAGTAACCATCAGCTCTGGAGTAGTCCTGCCTAAGAGACAGATGAAGACAGATATGCTACAGTGCCTTCAGAAAAGGGATCCAGGGTGGGGTACATGGTTCAGACCTGGTGCTTAAGAAGATTCCCCAGAGTTATGCAGGAAAGCCTGGGTCAGCATGAAGCAAGTACTGGGCACACAGTGTCCACCAACCCTGTGCTGAGGAGCAGCTGCTGCTGCTTTCCATCTGTACTCAGCAAAGCAGCTGGGAGAAAGAACAGAGAGAAGACCCACTTCAAGTGAGCGATACGATGACCTGTGACACCAGAGCAAGGCCAGCCAAGGCATCCCTGGCGTCCACACTGGAAAAAACCTCCTGACTTTCAGGGCCACAACCTCTTCTCTAGCAGCAGTCCAAAACAGTTATCACTTATCATACAGATGGCTTTTTAGCAAGGACATGATCAAGCTGCAGTTCTGGGCTTAGCTCTGAACTGGCTGCCAAGTACAAGCTACCCTTGTCCTAGGGAAAAGGGGAATGAGGGTTGTTTTAATGCAATGGTAATTACTTCAGCAAAAGAATGCTAAAGAGGCATGGCAAAGATGTACAAGCCAACAGCTTGGATTTCTAAGGTGATAAAGGCCCAGCTGCTGAGAGGCAGATAGGAATACTGACCATCCATTTCCACCAGCAGCTGGTTTAAGGTCTGCTCCTCTTCAGCATTGGCAAACCCAGATATATTGGTTGAGCGCTTCTTGCCCACAGCATCAATCTCATCAATGTACACAATGCAGGGTGCTCGAGCCTGGGCTTCTCTGAAGAGGCTCCGGACTCTGGCAGCTCCAAGACCTATAGGGAAAAGGAAGAAGAAATAAACCTTGTAGCTAAAATTGTTAGCAAAGCTGGAGAGCAGCTTTCCTGGCCCCCAATAAGACATCTGGCACTGGGCAAGCCCTTGGTATATGACAGCCCCTCTCTCAACACTCCTGGCACAAAGAAATAGCCACAGAACTCATTTGCTTAGTCTTTCAGCACAGATCCTTCTGGAACTCCTACAACTGCAGGGACTGCTATAGCTGCTGTATGAAGAGCTCTGCTCCCAGCTCCTAAGATGAACTCCTATTATTTCCACCAGTCAGAAGCAGAAATATCCAGCATTTTCCTGCACACTGACCCTTGTCAGGTCTCAAGAGATCTAGGAGGAAGGAAGAAAAGGAGAGAGATAGAAATCCCACGGCACAAAAAGGCCATACTTTCCACATCAGCAGGGAGCAGCAGAAAATCCATTAGCGTTCTTATACAAGGAAGGAAGCCTCAGTCAATGGCTTTAATAATAGGTACAGGGAAGTCAGAGATAATGCTTTCAGGTGAAGAACCAAGGCTGCACACTGTCAGAAAGATGGCTCTAGCAATTCAGAGGGCATGCATTTTAGATACTGCAGAATATTAAGTACTCTCTATCACTGAACATCTTTTACATTTTCAGGAGAGGTATCTAAAACTCATCCTCCTCATTGAAAGACAGGCTAAAACTCTGTCCTGTTCAAGAAGCCCTTCCAGCACCCTTCAACTTCTCAAGAAACCAAGTAACCTTCACATCCTTCCTCCTGAGAAGCTTACCTCCTATCACCTCCACAAACTCAGAGCCTGCCATGGCCAAAAATGGCACTTGTGCTTCTGTAGCCACTGCCTTCGCCAGCAATGTCTTTCCACAGCCTGGTGGTCCAAGTAACAAGGCCCCCTTGGGCACTTTAGCCCCAAGCTGCAAGTAGCGCTCAGGGTTCTGCAAGAACAACACAGCTCTGTTAGATTCACAGCTCACATAGAGCATTTGCACAAGAATATGGCCTCCCAGAGCTTCCTGAGAGTGTTTTTGGCCTGAGCAACTCTGAGCTGCTAATGGGAGCAGCTACATCTGCATTCCTGATATGGAACTGGAAATAGATTCGAATCACGTTGATCACAACATAAAAAGCTGTCAGGTTATTTAAACAGAGGCTGCTTAGTATCATGAAGGATGAAGAGAACATACAGCCACCTATCCCAGTAGATGGGTAGCAAGCACTTACGTTGTTCTACATTTACATACCTTTAAATAGTCCACAAATTCCTTGACTTCCATTTTTGCCTCATGCATTCCTGACACATCCTTGAAGCCAATCCCTTTCCCTGACTTCCCATCCACAATGGTGAAACGAGCCATTTTCAACTGGTTCTGTGGAAGGCAGAACAAGTACTGAGGACTTACTCTGACTTTGGATAAAGCAACAGTCTGGAAGGACTGTTTGCTATACTCGGGGAGATAGCACAGGTGTAAGCTGCCCCAAAGAAACAACAACACTAAAATGCCCACCAACATGTTGCTGGTTTACTCACTTTTGCTTTGAACACACTTCACAGTGAGACTGTTGACTCAAACTTTATTTATTCACATGTTGTTGGGAAGAGACAGAATAAACCTGCAGTAATAGTCCCAACACAATCCAGCTCGAACTCTATGCAGATAAGGCAGGGATGCTTCTTAAAACCATGCAGAATGTCCAAAACCTTGTTTGGTATCTTCTCCCCAGTTTCTAAATGCTTTGATCCTTAATACACATGGGACAGGTATAGTTTTGAGGAGGAGTATGTATTGATGGTAAATAATTGTCAGTGGTAAATAATTACCAATACTGTTTTGCAAATGCACATAAACAGACACTTTGCAACCTTGTCCAATGCTGCCACTGGTTTCTCTTGAAATACAACCCAGGACAGAACTGTAGGTTCTCAAATTTAACAGACACCACATTTCAGCCTCCTGGTGCGTGTCACACCACAGTGACAGTCAAAACAAGAATTTAGTTCAACGCCCTACTAGTAACTGCTCATTATGTTCCACTGAAAACTGCTACTTGGGATTTTTTTTTCTTTGAGAAGAAAATTCATAGTTTCTCAGGGCTCAGAAACATCAGCTTATTGAAATTAAGAGTTAAACATGGCAGGGCCTAGCTGTCCCCACTTAAGCAATGATAGAATCTAGCCCTCAAGGCTCTCATTAGTCAACACTTCTTTAAAATATTCCTCTGAGCAGCTGTATCCCTTTGTGTAAAGAGAATCCCAAAGCCAGAAGAGAACTGCTGAGAGGCCAAGTGGGAAATCTAACAAGGGACTGAATTCACTGTATTTTCATGCCCAAATCCCTGCAGTTAAAGACAGTGCACCCCAGGCTGATTTCTGCAGAGTTTTATCAGCTGATCCAGCCAAGGGTGGAAGAGGGGAGGAGGAGATTTGACTGATGTTGCAAGTGAGGCATGTGGCAGGAGCAGAACAGGCCAACACTTAATGAAACCCAGAATCTGAACATATTTTATAAATTGAGAACTCATTTTGCAGAAAGCAGCAATTCCTACTTCTGGCTGTATGGGAGGCATATTGGCAGGACCCAGTGAAAAACACCATCTGCAGCTGCAACTCATTAGCAAGCTTTGAAAACAGCAGAGCAAACTGGACTGCAAATTTACTGAGCTCAGCCCTTCCTGCCACTGGGGAAAGGAAGGGCCTCAGCTACGGCCAGTTACCGTACAAGCTAGTCAGATGATCAGGACAGCAAGATGTGTCAAGAATGGAGAGCCCGTGGCACCAGTTAATTCTCATTCTGCATTGACTTTGCTGGGGAAGGGGAAGAGAAGAGTATCCACAGGCTGCAAAATAACATCAAGATCCAGGATACTCACAAAGGCATTGAATCCTCCTACCCGTCCAGCGACCCTAATGAGGCGGAATATGCTCCACAGCATGGACACAGCCACAAGTGTCACTATCAGAGAGATGACATCACTAAAAGGACAAAAGCAAGACAGGTACAAATTGAAATGTTTGCCCACAACTTGCTTAATGTTACTCAACATAGCTTTTTGCAGTATTTTAAAGGTCCTGACATTTAGGCTACAAGTGCAACGAACAGACGTAGCTAAGAAAATGGAACCTTAACAGGTTTTTATATATATGTGTGTGTGTGTAAACCAAAAACCGCAACAATTACTTAGCCTAAAAAGTTGAACAGGGGACACTGGCAACTACTGCTTACAGCCGTGCTGCTACACCCACGACATGGCCTGGTCACCTCCTTGTGCAGCATGCAGAGTGTGTCATAGGGATTGGAGCACAGTGGCTTTCCCACTGTAGATGGGATGACCAGTAATTCTTCCTCCCTTCCCAAAATGTGAAACCTTTTGTTTGTGGATGAGTAGATACCTGGACTGGATTTTGCGTAGCCACTTGTCCTCTGAACAGCATTTGTACATTTTTAATACAAGGTTTATATGAAGATAAACTTTAAATTGATTGTGCAGTATGAGACCTTTAGCTGAAATTCAGAACTTGCCAATTTTTTCAAATTTGTGTATAACAAAACACTAGTACATCATATAAAAGCACAGCATAAAGCCTAGCCAGTGATCTATAGCATTTTGACAGATGTTTGTAGAATCCCAGACTGGTTTGGGTTGGAAGGGAGCTTAAAGCTCCTCCAGCTCCAACCCCTGCCACAGACAGGGACACCTTCCACTAGAGCAGCTTGCTCCAAGCCCCTGTGTCCAACCTGGCCTTGAACACTGCCAGGGATGGGGCAGCCACAGCTTCTCTGGGCACCCTGGGCCAGCGCCTCAGCACCCTCACAGGGAAGAGCTTCTGCCTCAGAGCTCATCTCAGTCTCCCCTCTGGCAGGTTAAAGCCATTGCCCTTGTTCATGTCCCTACAGGCCCTTGTCCAAAGCCCCTCTCCAGGTTTCCTGGAGCCCCTTTTAGGCACTGGAGCTTCTCCAAGGTCTCCTAGGAGCCTTCTCTTCGCCAGACTGAAGAACTCCAGCTCTCTCAGCCTATCCTTGCAGAAGAGGTGCTCCAGCTCCCTGTTCTTCACTCTTTCTTCCTTCCCCATTCTATCTTCCCTTCTCTTCTCATTATAGCTTTTTCAGAATTAGAAGCTTTGAGCTCTTTTTTTTTTTTTTTTTTATATATTTTAAGCCAAGTTTCAGGTAACAGAAAAGGGCTGTAAGTTTAATAGAAGAACTCCTCTCATTGAGATTTTGTATGCATCAAAGCTGCTCTGCTCAGTATGTGGCTCACAGCTGGAGTGAGCACAGTGCAGGCTGTGCTCTGATCTACAGCGGCTGCAGAAGCAGACCAAAACTAGGTGTTTATTTTTACAGACTGAAGAGCCACCACAGGCCTCCCTTGAAGCATTTGAATGGGGGGAAGGTTTGCTGCATGACCAGCAATCTCCACAGACCAGGGTGTAACATCACTTGTTGAGTCACAGTGCCTATCACACTTGACACTTGAATAATTGATTGTAAGGAGAAGTGCTCAGCTGTGCAAGAACGCATACTTTACTCAGAGTTGCTGACACTGATCGGAAACATTTTGGTGTGCTGTATGCTGCAGTTCCAGACACCTTCCTGGGACCTTTGCTTTTGAGGTATTAAGGTACATCTAAGACCATGCCTATTTCTGAACGGCAGGGTAAGTGCTCCAAAATGGAGACCACTTTTTAGTTCTATGTTTATATAACATTTAGTTGAAAGTGAGTTCCTCCCAAAGTGAGGGACGTTGTCACCAATCTAAGATTGACAGTAAGCACAAATTTGTATCATACTTTCCATAAAAGCCAGGATGCTTGTAGGAAACGGGGATTCTCTCTCTCTCATCAATATTCAGCTCATCCTCCACAGCTCTCAGCTTCTCTTCAAATTTGTCAATGTTTGCCACCCGCATTGTGTACAACAGGGTAACATTCTGGGGACGTGCAATAAAAGCAGCATGTCAGTGTTGTAGCGTAAGGATACAGCAGTGAACAGAAGAAAAGCACAATATGGACAAGTCAGATAAAAGTTAGCCTTATCTTACACCCTTTGATACTGCATCAATGAACTCATGAGCAAATAACAGACACTAGGCCTCCAAATGACCTTGGGAACACCTAGTCCTTTCAGCACCTCATGAAAGAATAAAAAACAAGAATTAAGTCTCAGCTCTCCAGAAACAAGGAGATGCAACAACTTTGTAGACAAGCCGGATGGAGTTAGTATTACAAACCCTGTTATACTGACACCATGGACTAGGAAGAAATATTATACTATATACAGAAACACAGAGAAAACTACATCACAGGAAAGGAGGAGCCTTGTGCTCCACTTGGACTTCTTGGATCTTGTTTCCAAATCTGTCAGAAACTAATTTCATCCAGTGGTTTTCAAATGGATCATAAATCACCTAACAAAATGGGATGTATCCAAGAACAGTATTTTAATCTCTCAAGCCAGTTTGTAATGATTCTTAGTGGTAATTTCTGGAAGTAAGGAGATCAAACTCTGCTTTGTCTCCATTTTGGAAGATTTAGGAAGAAAGCCTGATGGAGTTTGACAGAACACTTGAAACTAAAATCCAAGTAGGAGAACCTTTTTGAAACTAGATCTTACAGTGTTCTAGACACTTTCTCATGTATCAGACTGAGCCAGTAGAAAAAAAATGGTGGTTTTTTCCAGCTTTTTAGGCATACGTAAGATTTTCTTTCAGATTATTGTTAATTTCACAATTTAAACTAAAAGTCTTAATTTCCAGGTTGATATAACAGAAGTCCCCTGAAAGGGGAAAAGAGAAAAATTAATGAAGTGCAAATTTACCAGCTACAGTTTTATAGAACATATATATTCATGAATTCAATTCCTTTCAGCAGTATAAGCTAAGATCACTCATTTCAATTGCAGAAAGTCACTCACAACTTGTCCATGTGGAGTTCCTCCTGGGTGCAAATAAACCTCCACAATATCGCTCTCTGGCACCACTTCAATTCTCTGGACCTCCCCCTTTGCCAGCATCTCATTCACAAAGTAGTTCCAGGAAATGTTGGTCCCCTCTCTGTTCTCGCTGAGCATGAATCGAAACAACAGCACTATGAAAGTTATGATGAGGAGTGCCCGTAAACGTTCAATATGCATCTGATTTTCCTTCTTCCTGCGTTTCTCATCCTCTAGAAAAAAAAGATACCAGAAGGGGAAAAAAGAAAAAAAGATATAAGCATGTAATTGTAGAGATTTCTGATGCAAAGGAGGGACAATTAAATAACAAAGATTGACACAATGGTACTTTTTGAAGGGTTTTTTTGTTGTGTGTTTGGTTTCTCCTGAAGGGCTAGACCCGAAGCAGTACCCAACTTGCATTGCACAGGCAATTTTCTGGCTCGGCTCACAAAGGAGGTTGTGTGACTTGCCCAAGGTTATGCAAGTGAGTCAGTTTTTTGGATTGTGTGGCATTCCCAGACCCTTCTGGCATCTAGACCATCAGACCACAGGGCCTCAGCTGTACACATGAAAGAGCACCAAGTCAAAAGTTATGAAAGCAAAAACACTCAGATGTGAACTTAAACAGTTGCCTGGAAGGAGGCAAATTCTGCATCCTGCTAACCAGCAAAAAATCTGCTTGAGTCACACTGCTGTGGCTATATTCAGCTGTTCCCCAATGCCCCTCACTGCAGTGAGGCACCGTGTCATTACAGAGAAGATGATGGAGGATCACCTTACCTCTTCTGCTTTAACTGTTGCTTCAGTAAGAGGAGGATTTGAAGCTTTGGGGAGCCAAAGACAGACCCTCAACCCCAGAAGTTATTGTGTACAAAGACAAACAGCAATCTCAGACATGTTTTGAGAGTTCTGATCAGTGTTTCCTGTTTTAAGGCAGTCTAATCCTCGTCCAGCAGACTTCAGATGTCACAGTCTGCTAGTCCCACTACTATCCCACCAAGCGTCATTCTGTTTCAAAATGAGAGACTATCTCACTTGCCTAGCCTAACATGGATATAGGCCAAATAAAGCCATTGGACCCTGGCTGCTGAAAATCAAACTCAAGAACTACTGCAACCCACTTCTATATCACATGCTCCTACGCTGCCTAGTCCGCAGGCTGTTGCTAACACATCCATGGGGAAATATTAGGAGTAAAACCTGTTCACAACATCACTGGTAAATCACATAGCACAGTATTATAAGAGATAATTGCTTCCTGGTGAGCTCCTGATCTGCTGTCACCCTGTATCATGAGACCAACGACGTCTCTACTACCTAAAAATATATCTGCATTTGCAGTAAATCTGGAATAGCACAGGAGACGTGATATGCAGCTTACCTGTGCAAATAAATAAACTACAAATCAAGCCCACTGCCTTAAAATTGCACAGATTTTCTGCCATGCTATACAGACAACCTCACGTTCAAAAGGGTTTGATAACTTGTCCATATTAAGGATCCGTATCAGAGGGATTCACATGCTAGATGTGCTTTCCCCAGTCTTTACAGTACCACTGACATACTGAAGTGCTGACATAAGAAAAGGGGATGGTTTACTTCAAGTGTTTGCCACCAAACCTTTTTTATTCAGACTCCCAACATTTTTTGCACTGCATCAGCAAATTTCAAATCCTGTGGTCTGCAAAGGGCTGCCACAGCACAGTTCAATGTCAACTGCCAGCTAGTGTTTGAGTTGTGATGACAACAAATACCTCCTCCTCTTTCCAGCCCGATGTGGATGTTCTCGATATATAATTTAGCACTTGCTCTTGATACACAATTTAACATCACCAGCAACGTGGCATACATAAATACTGTTCTACACCCAGCAATGAATTAATTCTGTGTCACTGGACTGCTAATGCATCAGCCTGCTGCAGCCCAGATTCAATTTATTTGCAAATTCATAACAAATGCTCTGACACTAGCATTTATCACTAGCCACCAATTAGTCCCTACACACACTGCAACAAAACCAAGGGACAAACATATGACCCAGTCAGATGCTAAAAAAAGTACTCTGTCCTTCAGACACGCAGCATCATTCTTCACTCGTTTCCTAGCCCTGCTCCACATTTAACAGGAAAGGCTTGTTCCTAAATAGAAACAATGCAGCTTTTCAGATGTTCTTTGATCTTATCTCCTCACTTTTGTCTTATCTGCTAGATCCAGCTTTATTAGAACAAAGCAATTCATCAAAGCTGCAGGATGACATCCACTACAGTCTTATTAAAGAAAATTAAAATATAGTTTGTGAAGGGCCTTAGTCTGGACAATATCCTGAAAAGCTGAGCAAGTTCTAAATGAAAAGATTCTACAGAGAAAAGAAACTACTTTAGAAAGTGAGTACTGAAGATGTGAGTTCCTTGGAGAGGTCAGAGTCAACTATTGCTAAGGTATTTTCTGCATTAAAATTTCAAACAAAGTGAAGAGGCATAGAGTATGTCCTAAAGCATACATGACTAAGGATACAATCACAAAAGGATCACCACAAGGTAAAAACTGGCCATTAGATATCTTCACACAAACAACTTCTCCAGTTTCTAGGAATCAGACTTGTCCAGGACTTTTAAGCTACAGCTGAATTATTTCAGGAAAAGACACCATTTCTAGAAAGCTACAAAGCAATGCAAAACTTTCCTCTACTCTGCATTTAATTAAGAACAAAATCAATCTATTTCTAAGCTTATGTGAAGTCTAACTATGTTCATAGTACAACATTCATATTGTACCATAACTACCCCACAATGTTCAGTAAATGAGAACCAGTAACTGGATGTGACACTTGCAAGCAACAGCTGTGGGAATACTTCCAGCTTTTTAGCCTCAAAAAGCCTCCATGAAGCAATGATTTGCCATTAACCCCAAATCTGAACTCTCTGATTAAAATCTTGCAAGGGCTGCAGTGACAGTTTGAAGAGTTCTTTTTAATAATTACTGCAGAGACAAACATTCCCCTGGAGACATGGGGTAGCATTCCACCTCCCAAAGCCAAGCTATCCATTAATCACAGAAGAGAGGCCACTGAACATGGCATGTTACTGTTTACTAATTTTAACAGCTACAGTTCAGGGCACTGTGCTCGCAGTCACCCTGTGTGGTCTTGCAAGCACTAAGGGCTCCAACCTCTAAGCTCTGACTTCCTTGACAAGGACTCTGTGACACCTGCACTCACACCCCATGGAGGGCTTCAGCCCAGTGAAATGGATCACACGGGTGAGGCTGCTGCTCTTGCCTTAAGGAGACTGCAGTGACATGAGTCAGGCTAAAAGCCATCAGCACCTGGCTGCTTTTATTTCAAAAGCTAGTCAGTCCAAGAGGATTTGACCATTATGTTTAAGCACAAACAAAGGTAAAGCCAAGCTATTCTCTTATTTAATGATACTTAGATGAAAGATTATAATATAACTTGTAAAATTATACTACAATCTGTGTGACTTAAGCATGATGTTAATGCCTTCTAACTCACAGTACTAAGGTCTGGAGCCCTCTGCCTACAGGTTTACCCCTCACTCAAAGGTCCAGGAAACAAGCAGCACAGCAGACACCCACAAACTCACTCAAGACATCATCAGCCCCTGCAAGCACCAACTAATGTCATAAAACGGAAAATGCTCAGATACCTTATGCTTCTGCAAGCATTACTGACAAGAAAGAAGACGAGACCTTCACTGCTAAAGATCTACACCCCAGCGACTGAAAATACGCCTTATCCAGAGCCTAGAGAGTCTTTGCGTGCACTTCAGCTCTTGGGAGGCATGTACTCACAAACAAGCAAAGAATTTTCTTTACAGCAGTGAAGAGTCAAATTACACTTTTTAAACAGAATGCAGCTGTTGTAACTCTACAAATAGCAGAAAGCTGAAAACACCACCAAAACTTGAAGGGACACCCACAAACCCACTTGTATTTGAAAAAGATGTTTGGTGAAAATCTTCTGGTAGAAGGTAACAGTGCCTGCTAAAAGGATCAGTACGCTGCCTGTCAGAAGTTACACAAGGTTTTTGCCTGGCACATTAAAGTTATTTCCCTGTACCCTCACCATTAGCATCGGTAAATTCTTCACCCCCTTAAGATTAAGGCACAGAGAGGGCAACTCCTCTACTTCTCAACATAATCTGGCACAGCACATAGATCCCCAGGCTCCAAAACACATTTAGTGAGATAAAACTCATTTTCAAGAAGTCCTGTACAGTGGAATGCCTGGGGCTTAGGCAGTATAAGACGTGCAAAAACAGTATCTAAGAAGGCTGATACAAAAAACAAGAAGGAAGAATTCTGAGCGAGTGCCATTATCACTGCTAAGAAATCTTTAAGGAATCTGATTTTAACTTTAAGCTCTGTAAGTCACTAGAAGTAGAGACACATCCACAGTGAAGGGAAAGGAAATTAAAAAAACAACCAAACAAAAACCAAACCAGAATCCAACTTAACTAACTTAATTTAGTTAAAATAAGTTTAAGTCAATAATGCTGCACAACAAAACCTCCAAACCAAAACTCAGTTAATACTCCTGTTCCCCTCCGCAAAGCAGCAAAGTAAGGCAAACATCAATGAAGTTATTTGCATAGGATGCAAAGCAGCACGGAATCAGTTTCATGCTCTATATTTAAATCTTAGTATTCCACCCACTAAGCCAAAACACCCCTTCAAACTTGTTTGTAGCCACAGGCATTTAGAAGTGGTAAGTTACAGGCTTACAGTACCCAGAGAAGCATTAAGGCCTCCCATGCTGCCTACCCTTACCCCTCACACACACGACTTGTTTCATCAAGTATCTTTTTGGCGCATACATACCATCATCCTCCTGTGGAGATTTCTTTTTGAATCCTCCATTCTTCTGGTTACTCCACCGACAGCTTGAAGTAGTAAACCAGTAAGTGCTACCTACAGGCAGGGAGAGTTAAGCTGTTACTGCCAGAAGACCTCAGGAGACAGTGAGGGGGACTGAGGATAGCAGAAACACACATGAGCTCCGAGAGCAGAGAAAGCCGAGCTCCAGGTCCACCCAAGCACATGGTTTTGCTCCTGTGCCGAGGAAACGGGACATCCTCATCAGAAGTCGTAACAGGAGGGACGGACTCTGTCAGTTTCCTTACATATTTTTTTTGACAATCCAATAAAAGATGTCTTTGTTCCAATATGATTTTAATGGAGCAAAGATAGTAATTTGGAGAAATTTCTTCACTGCTGAAACATGTACACATTTCCCAAGGCACAGCCATAGTTAACTCACTGGTATGAGTCAAGAATGGCCTCACACTAGGAACTGTACATAGTTATTAAAGGAAATACACGTACTGGAGTTAAATGCAGGTTTCTCAGTAAATGCTGACAGGATACTCTAATAAAAGCCAAGAAAATAAGGCTACAAACAGTAACACTCACAGTTGCTGCCACGAAATAATCAGCAAAGGCTTTTTCATCAGAAATACAAGAAGTTGATAAGCCAGACAACTGACTTGACAACAGGGTTTTCCATTTCCCATGGTCTTTCATGAAGGCTCCAGAAAAAGGAGTAAGCCCAGAAACTGGAACTGCTTGTCCACTGCTACTTCTACTAGAGGATTCACTGCCATTTGAAAGATTATGCACGTATTTTAACTTAAAACTCCCAACCCTCTCAAGGGGGGAACAACCTAAGTTCA